ATTGAAATATATTATGGTATTGTCTAATATTGTAAGTTCTAATGCTGTTGATAATTCCGTTTTATATGAATTCCATGTTATATGAGTCACTTAGATTTTACAAATACATGTGCCGGGCTGTAAATGGCTAAGTGACTCGTACAACATGGTATTCATATAAAACGGAATTATCAACAATGTTATGGGGGGGTCTAATTTACAAAAATATGTTAATGTTATAGGACTGTAATTTACAAAAATTGAAAGTTTAAAACAAACTGAAAAGCCTCATTTAAAAAAATTAAAACTATAGATATGTTTATGCCAAAAGTCATGTTTGAAATGTATTTTTTAAAATTTTCAGATTTCAGTTGTTTTAATTAAAGAACTTTATCTTGTTTCTTGAATTTTTTACTCTCCAAGAACACACTGAAAATACAATCACAACTTGTCAAGTGCTTTCATATTGTTTATATAAATAATGGTAGCATTCTCTGATGGGTAACCTTTCTTAAACCTGTTTAGAATCTTTAAAGTTTGACTTAAGTGATGATGTATACAACTGTGACTGGGGGGTCGGTACCTGACACGGAAGCCGCAGCACCTCTGAAATAGGTCACGCAAGCAGTCGCGTAACGGAGTGATTGGGTTTGGTATGGAGTCAGAGACAGCGCTCCAGAAGTGACTCATACAGAGGCCTCATTAACAAAACAACGTTTATTTGTAAAAGACAAGAATTCATGATCGTACAAGGCATCAATAGGGATAGCTGGGCCTAATGTCGCGTTTCGAGAGAGAGAGTTTACAAGAAATGGACGTGGCGATAAATACTTTGGGATAATGATGATGTTTGGCAACAGTCTGACACTATTTGTTGAGAGGTTCTCTAGATTGCTCTGGATTGTATAATCGAGTATCTTGGTCTTTTGAGGTAGAGTTTGTCTTCAAAATAAAAGGCATATCCTTAGATGAGGAAATATACATTTAACTGAGTATCCACAAGAATTAGGTGCACAAGAACTAAGTGTATCTGTTAGAACTGAAATAGGCTCTAGATAGGGGATGATATTCCTTTGAGGGACTGGCAACGACTGCCTAACTTCTTTGTTCTGTTCTATATTGAACGGATGAAATCAAGATGTTAGGTTGGGAGGTGATGAGAAAGCATCGATTAAACTTCTTTTCTATTTCTAATCATTTAATTTTTTCCTGAAAATCTTAAATTTAAATTTGGGGTGCATCTTAAATTTGAAATAATATATGCACCTTATACTTTATTTTTTACCTGTTCTGTCTTGTGGGCACTAAAGTAGCCTTTTAATTGTACCCATCATGAATAGTGGTGAGGGATGGGACTCACTGACTAAAAATTTCCTTGAGTGTCATACCCAGATTTAATTCTGGGCAGACTGGTAGGCTTAAGCCTAAATTGCATCGGCCTTCTTGGTCATGTCATATGTACTAGATATTTTATGTCTTTAAGTTGTGACCGTAGGGTCAGTGTCTCTTTGACACCACGTCAGGATGTGACACCACCGAGTCTCACCGGACTCAGAAATCGTGACTTTACGTCACGCAAGCGGTAGCGGGTGAGCGGTTGGATTCGGAGTAGAGGTGAGGAGAGAGATGAGGAAGTGACTTACTCGGACTCCATAGTAACAAATAAATAACAATTTTAATTATAACAAAAGAAAATACAGATATATTCAATTTCTGGCATAGCCCCTAATTATACTAGGCCGTTCAAGAGAGAGAGTTTACAAACGAATCACGGGTTGATAAATACCTTTCTTTTGGGTCGAAGATCTGTGGTCAGATGACACCGCTGATGGAATGTTCGCTCAAAATAGTTCTGGGTCTTGTCTGTTAACAGGAAGTGTGAAGGCACTGAAGTGGGGATGATATCCTTAATTTAAAGAGGTACGGTATTAATCCTGGAGTCTTGGTCACAGTATTAATCCTGGAGGATGACTTTGGTGGACGGACNATTTATGCTGTTAAATTTTGGTGATTAAAGGTCAATGGAGTGGGGGAGATAAAGGGGATCATATCATATCTCAAGTAGGATCTGACAATGATGTAAATGCTAATAATGAGTAAAATCAATTTTTTTATAAAACCTATCCCTACCATCAAAATTAAATTTTTTGCCATTTTATAATTAAAAATATAAAAATTTCTTTTAAATAAAATATTGTAACAGATGGCACCACCAAATGTCGCCAGGAAAGTCAAGCAACTCATTGCTGGATTTTTTGGAATTGCTGTCCATTAAAAAAAATTTAAAGTTTTATTTTACATTTGGGAACATAAGAATATTACGAATAATTTGACATCTAAGCAATTTAATAATTTTTGCAATTATTTGTTATAACTAACTTCCAATATAGTCAAGTTCAAAACACACATACTCCAGTAAAATTCAAAAACTTATATATATTGAAAGTAAACGTATGTACAGTTACAAGAATTTTGACAAATAACAATTACAAAATGTCAGATGTTAACAAAGTCCCACACATGTATCCACTACAACAGGTCCGTCAGAAAGACACCTTGCGACGAAAACCTCTAATGTTATTTACCACACAGCGAGACAAATTAATCTTCTAGGTCAGCTTAGGCTAAGTTAGAACGACCATGAGTTCCCTTGATATGTCCGAGATGAACTAAAGTCAAATGTGAGTCCACTTCATGTGTCCAAGGCGAACTAAACTTCCCGCCACAACTCAATCCTTTTATACGGATTGAAGTAAATCGGCTTCCACCAATCAGCGCTTAGTAGCGCTACAAGACGTCCGCTGATGGTCCGATNAAGATTGTATAACGTTAATCACATAATTTATGTGTAAGTTTATTATTGTATTATTTTCTTTAATGATTAAGAATGTACTGTTCGTTTTAGGTTCAACAGTTTATTTACATACACTGTTACTTAAGCTTTCTCCTATTTTGACATATTAAAAAGTTGCATTTTTGTCTTAACATAATAAAAATATTTTTATTCAACAATTCACCATCAGTGCATGCTGAATGTCGACATTTGCCGGTGTAAGTGAGAAATAATGATATTTAGCAAATATTTCATACATAAATATTATGAAACGACTGTGTGAATGCTGACATTCACTGGAGAATCTCGACATTTGCCAGATATCGATCATTCACAGTAACATTTACACTAAGTGTAAATCATCATCATCATGGGAGGGAAGTCTAAAAACAGTTCCAAAACTGTAAATGGAATTGAGCAACATTGTTGCTAAAGTGCTTTAAACAATATGTTGAGTATTTTCTATTCAGACGGCTGTGTAAATTAGGTCAAGATAGGTGTCCTAGTGATATTTATCCCATCTTAAGTGAGATTGTGAGTGGCCATCAAGATGAAGTTTAATTTATATAAAAACTTATGCAGTTTTACAGGGGAATTTCAGGGGTGGCCAGAAAGAAAAATTTTCTTCTATTTCAAAATTAAATTCCCATTTTTTGTCCCAAAAACTTGATATAATAATAGTAAATTGAACTAAGATTTAAAAACACATTTATTAGAATACAATAAAAGAAAATGACAGAAATTAATATTTAACAGCAACACTAAAATACTCTTAAATAGTTATTATATTAACTGTTAATTATTGTCATTAACAATATTGTTTCTCTTCCAAATATTAAGAATAATAAGATACTGGAATATAATATAAATGTGGTTTTAAACTGGGTTTGTTTGCAATGCAAAAGCAAACAAACCCAGTAATTCAGGTATGCTATACAGCAGCATGAGAGGAAGACACTTTGCTGAAGAATTTCCTATTTAATATTTTATGGAGAAAGATCTGCNTGTACTGTTCGTTTTAGGTTCAACAGTTTATTTACATGCGCTGTTACTTAAGCTTTCTCCTATTTTGACATATTAAAAAGTTGCATTTTTGTCTTAACGTAATAAAAATATTTTTATTCAACAATTCACCATTAGTGCATGCTGAATGTCGACATTTGCCGGTGTAAGTGAGAAATAATGATATTTAGCAAATATTTCGTACATAAATATTACGAAACGACTGTGTGAGTGCTGACATTCACTGGAGAATCTTGGCATTTGCCAGATATCAGTCATTCACAGTAACATTTACACTAAGTGTAAAATCATCATCATCATCATCATGGGGGAGAAGTCTGAAAACAGTTCCAAAACTGTAAATGGAATTGAGCAACATTGTTGCTAAAGTGCTTTAAACAATATGTTGAGTTTTTTCTATTCAGATGGCTGTGTAAATTAGGTCAAGATAGGTGTCCTAGTGATATTTATCCCATCTTAAGTGAGATTGTGAGTGGCCATCAAGATGAAGTTTAATTTATATAAAAACTTATGCAGTTTTACAGGGGAATTTCAGGGGTGGCCAGAAAGAAAAATTTTCCTCTATTTCAAAATTAAATTCCCATTTTTTGTCCCAAAAACTTGATATAATAATAGTAAATTGAACTAATATTTAAAAACACATTTATTAGAATACAATAAAAGAAAATGACAGAAATTAATATTTAACAGCAACACTAAAATACTCTTAAATAGTTATTATATTAACTGTTAATTATTGTCATTAACAATATTGTTTCTCTTCCAAATATTAAGAATAATAAGATACTGGAATATAATATAAATGTGGTTTTAAACTGGGTTTGTTTGCAATGCAAAAGCAAACAAACCCAGTAATTCAGGTATGCTATACAGCAGCATGAGAGGAAGACACTTTGCTGAAGAATTTCCTATTTAATATTTTATGGAGAAAGATCTGCCCACAAATATTAATTGTTATTTTATGAGTGACACTATTACAATTTTAATAATGAATGAGGGTGAGGTTTGCTATATAAGAATAAAACAATTTTTGATCATAATTAACATAGTTAAGATTTTTTTTCAGATTTCTGTAATATATAGAAAAGAGTTGCAAAATAAAAACAAACTAAATGTTTTGGATTTCTAATGCCTAATAATAATAATAATAATAATAATTTCTTACTTTATTAGTTTCTTCATCATCTCCAAATTTTGTTCGTTCAGCATAAGCATATTTAAAAGCTTCTGCCATGCGATGGTAAGTTAATACTGATGAAGAAATATCTTTCATGCTATCAGCAGTAAGATTATATCCTCTTAATATATTTAATATAAAACCCAAAATTGCTCCACTTCCTGGTGTAGGAACTGTGTAAAGAATATCTTGATTTAATGGAATTGCAATGGCATCTTTTAAAAGTGGCTTATAATCCTTCATATCTTGTAATGTGATTTTACCACCTACAATTCAAAGCAAAAATATAATCATTTCTTAGATGTAAAATGTTTTCTATATAAATTTTATAAAAGCCTACCAAAGTTTCTAATATCGTTGACTAAAGATGCTGCTAATTTCCCAGTATATAATTCATCACCAGAAGTATTGGCTATTTTACTTAATGTTTCAGCTAAAATGGGTCGTTTAATCATTTCACCCTCTTTAAACAGATCATCAGTTTCCTTGTTATAAAATAATTCCCTGAAATAATTAATGGATTATTCAAAATGTTTTAATACCAAACAGTTTAATTTACACATTTTTTTTAATTAGAAATTATTATTTAAGAAATAGAAAAATTAGATTTTATTTTAAATTTTATTACATAACTTTTTATAATGTTAACAATTGAGGAACTTTATGGAAAAACAGCATTTACCACATTAAGAAGTTTTCAAGAAAAACGGAGGATTTGTGTTTCAATTCACAAGCATTTTAATATGCAACATGTTATTACTGTAATGTAGGTGTACAGTACAACCTGTGGGACATGCAACTAAACTGCAGAAATTTCTTAGAAACAGATTGATGATGCACAAATCCAAATTTGTTAATAACTTGTATCCCTCAAAACTACAAAAAACATCATTTTTCCATTAAGTCTCTCAGTTATTAGCATTATTAGACTTTTTTCACTAAGAATTGTGTTTGTGCAAAATTACTGTTTAATTCTGGTAAATTCAATTCAAGTAATTCTGGTAAACATGTTATAGTAATCAGATAAGTGATTGATTCACATCCTTTTTGTATAATAAAATTTTTATTACAAGTATAGTATGAAGAATGTCAGAAAAATAAGGCTAAGAAATTAATATTGACAAAAAAATCAACATTGCCAACTAAGAATAAGAAAGTAAAGATGGGGCAAGGAATGAGACTAAAAAAATAAAATATATGCTTTTATTTTGTCTTGTCATTTGTATATCTTAAGTAAATTTAATTGATTATANAAAGATGGGGCAAGGAATGAGACTAAAAAAATAAAATATATGCTTTTATTTTGTCTTGTCATTTGTATATCTTAAGTAAATTTAATTGATTATAGTAGTCATTTTATGTCTGATCAAAATAAACAAATAAGTACTTTTAAAACATGAAAGTAAGGCTCTACCATATGTGACCAATACATTCCATGACCCTCACATAGATAATTGCATAAAATAGCCAGTCCCATTAATGATTAAATATTTCTTAAACTAACATTTATGTATACATAAGGAAAAAACATGTGATAGGTATAAGGCAAATAATCACTACATTAACAATAAATAGCATGATACTGCAAATCATAAAAACAATACTTAAAAATTTTGGAAACAGACTTTTTTGCTTTTCCCACTAAATCTAAAATTTTAAGATTTTCTCTAAAGCACCTCTAGGCTCTTTATAGCTTTTCTTTGGCTTATCAGAATTACTAGCATAATTACCCTTGTGTTTTGGAACCATGTTTGCAAAGTATTTGGCATATATGAAACCACGAGAAATATTGATATCAAACAAACACAACATTTTACAAGTGAGAACTCCAGACAAAGATTGATGAGTGAGGTGTATTTGATTATTAAGTATTTAACTAGAAAGATGCTAGGCAATCACACTTGGCATAATTTTCATAACAAATGAAATGGTAAAAATGCACCCTTTTTATTTAAATTTATCAAATAGGATCTGTAGAATGAACCATAGAGTTTTACTAAAGACTCCATCCTGATTATAAAAACCCTACATAAATCAAAAAAATATTAAATTTTCATAAAAATATTTTTTTATACATTAAGTCAGACCAATTTTAGAAAACACAAATAAAAAATGTTATTAGTTATGCAATATTCAAATGAATATTCCTGTTGTCAACTAAAAGGAAGGATAACTTCATAATATATAGAAAGAAATAAATGGATAAAAGATGAAAACTTAATTTGTTCATAACTACAATGATCATTAATAATTGTAACAATTATATAAGATTAACTAAATTACTCAAGTATTCAATTAGTTTTTTAAATTGTAACGTAACTCATAACTATAAGCTAATATGGTAGGACTGCAAATTCAAGTCCCATATAAGGCCATTTCTTTTCAGATTTTTATTTTCTTTAATTATTTAAAATTAATTCATAATATCAATTCTTCTGTTGCCACAAAAAAATTCAAATTCAAAAATTCTACATTATTCTACATTTTCTTAGTCAAACCTGTCTACAACAAAACCTGTATATATTGAAAACCTGTCATTAACAGAAAATTTATTCGGTCCCTTGAATTTTTTGCAAAAATTAATGTAAATTAACCTGTATATAGCAGAACCTGTCTAATGCAGAAACGAAAACATCAGTATCTTTATCCAATTTAATATAAATTTAACAAGATGTTCATAAACCTAGCATGTATAAATCATTAAAAAGTCAAAAAATACACATACGCAATACAGAACAATAAAATATGATTAATTAATATGGTAAAGTAATTTTATTGGAATTTGAACAGAAAGTTTTTGTATATTTTTATTAACAGCTGTTTTTACTTTCAGGAAATTTTGAACTAAAGGATACAAAACGTACGAGACTCCAAAAGCTGTTGAAGGAAATTATAGAAAGAAATTTGTTAAAGATTGGCAAATAACAACTTGTGAATTTGCAACAAATCTTAGTATGTCACAGACATGTGTTGTTGAAATACTTCATCCACTTGAACTGTTTGTAAAACATGCTGATGATTGTGTTCTGTATGCAGTTTTTTCCCCACTCATGAAAAAATGAACCGAATTGAGTATAATTTTGTCTGACAAAGGTAGGCAGCTCTAAGGTTTTATTTTATTTTTAAATTGGTTACTCATTTTTATCTTAGAGAACTTTTTTACGGATAAATGAAAAAATTAAAAGTTAAAATAAAAATATTTGTTATTAACTGAAAATTTGTTCTAGTAGGTGGTGATTGTTCAGTGGAGTACCAAGGTACCACTGTATTTGGTTAACATGATTTTGATATACACGGTAGCATCAAGAAATTTATTAATTGTATTAATCAAGGAATATCAAAGGAATGTACCTATAGTAGGTAACCTGTATACTGCGGAAACCTTCTACTACGGAAGAGTTGTTCTGTCCCTTGGGGTTCCATTATAGACAGATTTGACTGTATTTACTTTAGTTGATATTGCAACTAAAGGAAATATTCTAATCTTGCTTTCTTTAATCATTGTGATGAAAATGTATTGCTGAATCAAACTTGTGAATATAAAAAGGTAGTTATAAATTGGAAAAAGGTGAATACAGAATGTAAAAGTATGAAAGTTTTATTGTATTATGATAATTCTTTAAATTACATTTTAGAATTATAATATATATAAAATATTTCTGATCTGATATAATAAATTTAGTCATTTTTTAAAATATTTTGAAAAATTTTCAGAAAAAAAAATCTATGTATCTAAAGAAAATTAAAAAATGTTAACTATTACCTCATACTAGGTTCTTTAAGAATTTCATCTTTATTTAGTTGAATTTTATCAGCTAGATGGCGGCCAACAACAAATCCCTTTTTACATAAATCAATAGTAGGATTAATAAGAAAATTCCAATCTAATTTTCNCCCCAGATGGACAGGGCCAGATGCAATAGGTGCGAGGCCCGATTGAATTTTTTTGTGGGGCCTCTCAAACTTTAAATAACAAAATTAATTAACAGTTAATTTACATATTGAAATATAGATTTTAAATATTTATTTAAAACAAAATCCAAAATCTAATTATAAAAATCAAAAGTCATGAACCATAAGGTAGACAAATTTCTACATTAAAAAAATCTGTACCAAATATAAATACAACTACATTTTATTGAATATAAACATACATAGATAGGTTTTTGTATTTCTATATTTTTAAATGAATAAAACCACATAAATTTTTGCCATGAAAAATCTTCTAATGTGTTGATGAATGAATATAATTGAATTTTATTGAATATAAACCTATAAAAAGATGTTTTATATGTTCTGAAGTTTTTGTTCTGTAAAATAATCTAAAATAGTATCAAAATCCAACTGGCTTGTTTCTTGACTCTCAATCGACATGATCGCTAAACTGTTTAATCTATTCTGTAATTTGAAACTATTTTTAAATATATAAATTTTGATGTCCTGCGGGACCCGATTGGCGCAAATCGCTCCAATTGCCTCAAATCCGGCCCTGTATACAATACTTTCTCTAATGCTTATTTTTACATTATTCTATTTTTAATATTACTGATTGTCCAAACCAATTAAAACAATCTTTGAAAGATAATACAAAATAATTTTAGGTCAGACTTAGATACACCGAATTCCATTGTCAGTCAACAAATTTTGGCATCTATCTGTTGAAGAATTTGAAATCTACCTCATGAATCATGAATTAGTCTACCTCATAAGACACAACACAATACAATAAAAACAATTATAAATTGTAAAATATTAAAATTTATGGGATAGAGTATTTTACTTTAAAATAGAATATGAATGGCAACTCTGTTCATAATATTACAAGTAAAATTTTGTAAATCACCAATTTAAAACATTAAATGCATATATATTATTACCTTTTTCTTCTGAAAACATCAAGTTTTTCACTCATCCGTTCTTGTAAATTTTTATTATTGATTTCCTCATTTGAATACTTTTGTTTCTTAGCTAATTGACTTGACATTCTTGACAAATTAAAAAATAAAATAAATATTAATTTAATGAAACAATACCAAATTTTATAAAATATATTGAAAATTATTATTATTCAATTAGATTTAGAAATATTATACTCCAATCAACTTCATCAACAATCACAGGTATTCACTATAATTTTCCAAGGAAGACATCTTCCCAAGGGAGCTCTAAGGTTTAATTTTATTTTAAAATTAGTTACTCATTTTTATCACAGACAACTTTTCATTGATGACAAAATTAAAATAAAAAATTTGTTATTAACTGAAAATTTGTTCTAGTAGGTGGTGATTGTTCAGTGGAGTACCAAGGTACCACTGTATTTGGTTAACATGATTTTGATATACACGGTAGCATCAAGAAATTTATTAATTGTATTAATCAAGGAATATCAAAGGAATGTACCTATAGTAGGTAACCTGTATACTGCGGAAACCTTCTACTACGGAAGAGTTGTTCTGTCCCTTGGGGTTCCATTATAGACAGATTTGACTGTATTTACTTTAGTTGATATTGCAACTAAAGGAAATATTCTAATCTTGCTTTCTTTAATCATTGTGATGAAAATGTATTGCTGAATCAAACTTGTGAATATAAAAAGGTAGTTATAAATTGGAAAAAGGTGAATACAGAATGTAAAAGTATGAAAGTTTTATTGTATTATGATAATTCTTTAAATTACATTTTAGAATTATAATATATATAAAATATTTCTGATCTGATATAATAAATTTAGTCATTTTTTAAAATATTTTGAAAAATTTTCAGAAAAAAAAATCTATGTATCTAAAGAAAATTAAAAAATGTTAACTATTACCTCATACTAGGTTCTTTAAGAATTTCATCTTTATTTAGTTGAATTTTATCAGCTAGATGGCGGCCAACAACAAATCCCTTTTTACATAAATCAATAGTAGGATTAATAAGAAAATTCCAATCTAATTTTCCAAACTTTTGATGAGCAAACCAGTAACCTCTTAATTCTCCAGGAACAGCTATTGCCAATCCACCTAAATCAAATAAAATTACATATATTTTTTAATTGCTACATATATACAGTAGAGCATCGATTATCTGAATGCCGATCAACTGAAAGCATTCCAGTCGGACTGTGTTGTGCTGAATCAAATGTTTTTGATACTAATTAACTTCTAAGTATCATTTTTTTTGTTTTTATATTTTTCAATATATTTATTTTGTTTGTACAAAATAAAGAAATAATTTTTAACGATACAATAGCTACGATTATTATTATAAAAATTTTCGTTAGGCTTAACATCAACAAAAATTCAACGCAAAGCGACACGCAACAGAGAAAAATTTAAACATGGGATATATTAATAATGTATTTTTTCGTACATAATCGGTTATCTGAAAAATTGATTTTCTGAACAACCCCAGTCCCCAATTGATTCAGATAATTGATGCTCTACTGTGATCATATTCTCACCTTAAGTAAAATTTAAATTTGTATTCACCATATATTGATCAAATGTTGCAGACTTCAGTTAAATCGTAATTCACATATAAATTTATCACTATTAATGATTTAATTATCATATAATATTATAGATTAGCACATACTCCAATTGGATTTGCCATTGCATGATAAATAACTTGAAACTTTTATGAGAGTGAAATTAGTCATTGGCACTGAAATAAATTTATATTCATTTCTTCTTTTCTGTCTTTTCATTGTTTTAGCTTTTAAACTTTTTCAATAAAGCAGTAACTGTTACTGCTTCAAAACTAATGCTATGCAAAGAATTTGTACAGATATGAAATGCATTGGACAAATCAGAAAATTTTTTAATACAGCTTCCATCTTACACCACTCATATTACTAGATTATGATCAATGATAACAGATGGATTTGTTATGAACTATTGCTTTAAATTTCATAATCTGGTATTAGAATGAATTTGTGAATAGAAAAAGCAACAGTTCTGAATCTGACTTTAACCTTTAAATTTTGAATTATGTAATTGTTGGTGAATATAGCTATTACAAAATTTCCACTACATAGTTCAAATTTTGCCACATGGTTATACTTTTAATCATTCTGACAAAATAAACCAGCAACTAGTGAAACGAACTGGTGAAAGCTACATGCCACAATTGAACACTTGCACTCATTGTAATGCCATTTGGCAGTGCTTGTATGGGAAACTGGGATGATAAGTATATATTGAAAACC